TCTCAAATATATTAAGTGTATAATCTATGATATATAGTGAGTAAGTAAGACAGGAGACCGGCTTCGTCCTCATCCCTACTACGTGATGTTTGCTGGATGAGTGGTGACACCTGGCGGGGATAGCTGATCGATTGATAGTTGATCAGTAGTCGACCGGCGAGGGCGGGAGATCAAATTCAATTTAAAAAAAATCATAATTAAAAGAACTTGAAATTATAAACTCTGAATAAGAATTTATCGTACTACAATTATAATATTTGATTGCCATCTTGCAACCTTATTGCGGATCTGTGCATAGAATAAAAAAAATATTAATCGGGATGGAAAAATAGGGGTTGATCGTATAAGAGTGAAAATTGAGAGTAATATGATTTTTTTTATTTGAAGTCATGGCAAAACAAAATAAAAAACTTGCCAAAAAAATTAAAGTTTATAATTAACAAACGAAAAATTGGGGTTGATCATAGAGGGATGAAAAATTGAGAGTAACATCAGATTTTTTATTTTAATTCATGATAAAATAAAAATAAAAATGAGAATCTTGCCAAAAAAATTAAAGTTTTTAATTAGCAAATAAAAAATAAGGGTTGATCGTAGAGGGGTGAAAATTTAGGGTTATACGTATTTTTGTATGCTGTATCATAAAAAAATAAAAACAAAAGTTTTTGTCTAAAAAATAACAAATAAAATTTAGGGGTGGACCACCCTTAACATTTAGGGGGATGAAAAATAGATGTTGGCCGATTCTCATAGATACTGGATAAGCACAAAAAATTTCATCAAAATTGGTCAAGCCGTTTCGGAGGAGTATGGCAACGAAAACTGTGACACGAGAATTTTATATATTAGATTATCATGTAGTGAATTTAACAATCTTATACCTTTAAACGAGCAACTCTTGTATATATATAATCTGAATCTCAGAAACGGCTCTAAAGATTTTCATAAAATTTAGTATACAGGGGATTTCGAGGGCGATAAATCGATCTAGCTACGATTTATTTTCAGAAAATGTTGTTATTCGTGTTTTCAATAATCAACTTTATCGATAGTCAACTTTATGCCTCTTCCCGACATCTATAGGCGAATAATAATACTATTTTTACTGCTTTAAAGACACAACAAGATGGCGTTATAAAAAAAAAAAGACGAGCAAAACTCGGTCGTCATCTAGTTATTATAAAGCCTAAAATATGTATTTACTTAACAGATGGTATATTTTTGCTTGGAACCTCACAAACAGAACATCTGTAATTCGTTTATCAAGACAAAGTTCACGTCATATATACATATAAATAAAATTTGTGTGTCTGTTTGTAATATTAAGATAACCGCTTTTTACTACATGCATATGAATATATATACGGTACATACACCAAAATATCATTTTTTACAATTTTTATCTGTCAGTCTGTCTGTCTGTCTGTTTGTTTGTTTGTTCCAGCTAATCTCTGGAACGGCTGGATCGATTTTGACGAGACTTTTACTGATAGGTAGCTGATGATATGAGAAGTAACTTAGGCTTTTATTAGACTAGCTTAGCCCCGCGAGAAGCGAGTGCTGGTCGCTAGTATTAAATAATTCTCGGAGCTCAAAGGCACCAAAACATGAGATGTGAGATTGAAATCTCAATTATGTAAGGGGTGTCTCACCATTTAGACCAGAATGTTTTATAAATTCGTAGTAGAAATAGACAGAAAAATAATACCTAGTTACCTAGTACAGGAGCCCACAATCTGTTCTCATTCATAAAACTCAGTGTCCGCAAAAAGGTTTTCCATCTCTTTTTTACGTGAGCGTCAGTAGAAGAAGAGCTTTAAATATTACTGAGTTTTGCAGGGCCTAGTTCATATTGTGTGCCTAGGCATTCTAGAATGCCTTTTGCTCCGTAGATATTAGAAAATAATGTCAAGATGTTTAAACCTGACATAAATGTGAAACGATAATCCCTTATCGTACTCTCCTCGATTTAAAGCGGCTCATGTGACAGCTAACCACTCGTAAAGAACGAATACTCGTCAAACATCAGCCCGCTAAGTTTATCGCAGGATTTTCCTATCAGGCTGCGATTCCGATCCGATAACAATCCGACAAAGCAGCTGCCTATGAGCTGTCAGCCTCCCTCGTTGCTAACAACTTCCCACCTTCCCACATGAGCCCTTGAGCTTGTCCTGATGAAGCTTAAGCGGTCCCTAAGTCACCAGTAACTGAGTCATCCTCAAAAAATTATATGTTGAATCCCAGAGGTCTCGGGGTCATTGCAGCGCCTCATTGATATTTCCATAAAATTTTAACAAAATGAAGATTAAATAATGGACTTGTGTCAAACAAGGATCAATCTTACATTTTTATTTGGTAGAAAATCTTAATTTTATGTTAATTGCAAAATTAATAACGGAATACTATTGTAGAAATTTAAATTTGTGGGTTGAGCACAAAGTCACCTAAATATGATGAATGAGCTTCGACCGTTCCATTTCATACAATAATTACTATTGGTCATGAATAGAAGCGTCAAATGTGAATTTAAAACGCAATAGCGGTTTTTCATTAATAAGAAACACCTAATTTAAAATTATTATTTTTTTGCAGTATTATTTAACAGAGTTTTTAAAATACATCTCTACTAATATATAAATGTGAATGTAAGTTTGTTTGTTACGCTTTCACGCGAAAACTACTCAACCGATCATCATGAAACTTTGTACACATATTCTTGGAGGTATTAGAAGTAGCATAGGATACTTTTTATTAAGAAAAAAATTATGTTTTTACGAAAAATTAAAAAATTGTTTGTCAAAAAATCTCAAAATCTAGCTTCTTCAACGACATCTACCGGTTCAGTAATGAAGTTCCAATCCTGAGTACTGTAATACCATTGGACTGTATTGCCGACAACAGTATATTTCTATATATACCTATATATTAAGGTTGGCTCTCTATAACGTTTTTTATGCTAACCAAATTTGTTCTAAAATAAAGCATTATTTGTGAAGGTG